AAAATCACCACTAATTTTCTTTGGGAAGAAGCTCTTCAGCCACCGGCTTTCGACTCATTTTAAGAGCATTCGTAAGCGATAGAACACTAGCATCTGCGCTTGTTTCTCCTTCTTCAATCAAACTTGGAATGATTTTAGGGTTTTTGGACGTCAAAAAGGAAACCATTTCCTCATTCGCGTTATCGCCGTAATTTATTTTCATGTAATCCATCCACGCTCTCGAACGAATATTTTTCCACGAGAACTCCTTTTGAGAGAGATTTTCAAGAAAATCGATAGATCGTGATCTGGAATATGATTTGACAATCTTTTCTTGTATTTTGTTCATAACTTCTCTCGGAAACGCAGACTCACAAAGTTCGAGAACATCCCCATCCTTAAAAACTTTTCTCAACCGAGGTAATATAGAGTTGACAGGATCAGCTCGTAATTTTTTTGCGGTCGACATCCATGCAGTAATGGTGCCTAACTCATCTGCCATCACTGCATCCATCACATTCACCTTCTCCATCAGTTCATTCAGTTTGTAATCCACCAATTCTTCTGTGATTTGGACAGCATGACCATTAGCTTCAAAGTGCGCTTCACCAATTTTTTGTTCACTGATTCCTAGTTGCTCTATCTTGTGATACAAGTCGCTCGCACGAGTATTTTTCGGAGTAAGAGGCTTGCGAAAGTACCAATCTTGCAAAATCGGTCTATTCAGTACGTCAACTAGGTTGTCGTTGTTGCTGAACCATCCATTGAAAATTTCATTTTCGATTCGATCACCAATGGACTTCGAGCCCTCATCAGCCTTAAGTCTTGTGCTTAGTCTAAGTAGTGAGTCTTCAAGACGATCCGCAAAAGGCTTCAAATCCGCATCATGTTTAGCATTGGCGATATAGTTCTTCAGCGCGACTTCAAAATGATCGCCAAAAGCTAATTTGTCGTCGACAACCTTCGTAGTCGGAATGGAGTCGATCACTTTTTCCATATCGTGTCTCACCAGTGTAGTCAACATTAGACCAGCCCCTTCGTCTAGTTCAGCTGGGAAGGTCTCTGCAATTTGTTTTGACCACGTCGTGAACTCTGTACTGTTAAAGATATCCGTTTTCACTTTGTCAAGTTGGACATCCTTTAGCAATTCGAAAGCTTTTTCCTCCTGGTTGACTAGGGCGGGAGTCAACGGAATAACCGGCTTACTTATTACCTCGTGTTGAGAGGACAACTTCGACACTGGTTGTTGAGTATCAACGTTAACCAGTTTCTCCTTGTCGTTACTGAAGCGAAATTCACGGAAGTCACGTTCTAGTCGGTCACCGATGGACTTTGTGCCTTCGTTAGCCTTCAATTCGTTGATGAGATTAACCAGTGATTTTTCAAGAAGATCAGCAAAAGGCTTGAGCTTCGCATCTTTCTCAGCCTCTGCGACATACTTCGTAAGCGCGACTCCAAAGGGTTCGCCAAAAGCTAATTTGCCGCCGACAACCTTAGTAGTCGGAATGGAGTCGACCAGTTTTTTAATTCGGTATGTTGCCAATGTCGACACCATAAGACGAGCGGCTTCATCTGGATTATCAGGGAAGGCATCCACGAAATATTTCGACCACTTTTGGAATTCTTTGCTGTTGAAGAAATCCACTGCCTGGTCAGCGTTCACTTTCTTCAGTAACTTTTCACCTGCTGCCTCTTTGTTGGCGGCGTACCTCAGGTAGATATGTGGCTTGAAGAACCTCATGATCCAAGACGATGCAAGCTTTTGCCACAGATATGAAGGCTTGAAATGCGACATAAAACGTGAAAGCAGTCCAGCCTCTTCTTCAACCGCAACAGGTGCAACTCTTTCTTCCAAAGACGCTGACAATTGATCAGATGTCGACAATAAAGCTCTGTCGTGTCGCTGGACCATCGCACGCTCAGCGCTTACCATCATGATCTCTAATCGAGATACCTCACTGGAGATCAATAGAGTGACGCATGACAGTAAAAGGAAGCATATACGACGTGGAATGTTGCATGTTGCAGTCATTAGTTAATTACGTGCTTGACTTCCTTGAAAGAGATTGAGGAATGAACCAGAGGAAGTGCGTGAAAGTAACATGTTCTAGATCTACTGTATACAATTTCCATTACTTAAAAACCAGAGGACAGAGCAGAATCATGGATACTCACCAGCTGCATTTCAGCAGATCCTAATCCTGTCTCTTTTGCCTTATCTATCTCTCCCCCAGTATGAGGACAATCAATTCTTCCTAGAAGGACTTTCTGTGGATTTCTTAGATGCAGTGCTATGTAAGATGCTACTTTACACAGACATGCAGTGCCATACTTTGGATGGCTAATTATCTTTTGGCGGCCACATTAAAGATGCGCTGATAGACTATAGCGACAATGCTAGAGATGTTGCTCGTGCAATGGTGGTGCACTCCCAACCAAAACGAAGAGAAGCACTGCTACCAGATTTTAAACTTCAGGATGGAGCTGCAAGATTAACAAACAAATTGGCCAAGCGCATTCTGAAGGTTCAGGCTGTGCCGAGACAATAATGAAGATTTTAGCGTGGAAATACATATGAGACGACCCAGAACCAAATGATACTAATCAACCATTTAGAGTTATCGAGAT